TTGTCATCATTTTCTGATGAAGGTTACTTCAGTATTTCATTAACAGAAGGAAGAAGACAGCCAAGATCAAACAGACTCTCTTTGATAATTGTGAGGCACCTAAATTGATAATTTTGAGAATGAAAATCTGTATAAAAAGATCCACATACAATTTCAGAGGAAATAACTACACGAGGCTTACTGTAATTTAAGACACGGAACAGAACGAAAATGAAGATTTGTAATTTTAGAAGAGAAATTTTCAATTTGCAAAACAAGAATCCGTTTGGAAATCCACTGTACAGAAGGATGAGAGGGTCCATTAGAAACCTCTAAGCCGTCGAAAAATTATCCACAACCGCAAAACCGCAAAAAAAAATTCGATCAAAATCGAAAACCTCATGCAAAACCGTCAAAATCTATAGGTGTTCACATCCCAGTTCTCAAAACCCTGATGGATCCGATACAGTGTTGACAAGTGGAACATACAGAGGTTTCGCGGCTATTCGAGATCAGTGGCCGCTTGGATCGAAGAGAAACCGGAATCCAAATGGGAAAATCCGAAAACCACTTTGAAAACCAAATCCGAAACCCATAAGACAAGTATTTATGACGAAACCGAAAAACATATGCTAAAGAACGGAAAATCCGCAAGCCGTAATGAACACACAATCTGAAAAACCAAAATTCCATGGCACAAAAACCGATCCTAAAAAATATCGAAAATCCCAATGCCCCCTTATGGATGGATCGGTCAGTTCAGTCCAGAACTCATACAAATGATAACACAACAACCATTATTATTACTGAAACCTCAACGAAAACTCTTTTTATCGTTATTATTTTCCAATCAGAAACATGCTGCAAAACAACTCTAGTCACGCGATATTTTTCAGGGAAGGTGTCATGTCACGCAATCGAATCATTCGTCGACTCCGAACATCGATGCTGCAGCCTCACGGATTTTTCTTTTTCTTTTTTTTTTTTTTGTAATTATAGATCTACATTTTATGGCTAAATGGCGCAGTCCTTCCTTTAAATACGGAAGAGGATTTGATTAGCTAAGAACCCCACGGAGATGTTCATATTTTCAGTTCGTTTCGTTTCGTTTATCAAATCGCAGTGAGCCCTAAAACTTCCGGAGATATGGTCGATTCTAGTTTTACAATAGAGACTAAATGCATTTTATGAAATCAGATATTTGAAAGACAGACGCAAAAAAGAGTGTTACAAACGTTAACTCTTTGACTCAGTTGTATCCAATTCTGCGCATAAACTCCATCATCTGCTACCACTCAAGCAAACACAATTTAGAAACCAGTGTAATTTTAAGTTTGGGAAAACGTGCACGACCTCACTTATTCCATTCAAGTCCAATCGGTAGAACTTTTATGCGTAGTTTTCTTTTTTTATATTACATGAAATTGTTTTTGAATATCAGCGTATAAAACTTCAAATAACGTTTTGCAAATTTCATGCTGCGAATTTGAATATTTTTCAATAAACAAACGATATACCTCGAGGAGACGACAGCGCAACGAAAGAACCAAATCGCAGAACGTGCCGGCGCGAATCTAGGGCGCAGTCATTCATGGAAATATCGACATCCACAACAGAGTACGTACCTCTGAGAAGTGTTCTCCGCGGATCTATTTGCCATTTTCAAAGCAATCTAGTAGGGCAACTGCACGTGGTTCAACCTCTCTCGTCTGACAGTTCCTTTCATTTGGTTCCGTGAATTTGAATTAGATTATGGTTATCTTATGACCTATTGTTTTTCTCGGAAAATTAGCGGAAGAGAAATAGCAGGAGTCTGGAAACTAGCTAAGTTGGTGACCGCTGACTGAAGTACAGGAGATTATCAAAGATGGCGCGAAATGTCGGAGAGTGATGTGAACACCTCACTATGTTAGTCGTTTTAGTTCTCAGCGGCAGAATTTCGCTAAAATTGGTATGTATTGCTATACATGGTAAAATTTCATCTGTCATGAATCTTTTATTTGGCACATGGTTGGTAATTTTACAACATGTTTTAACCAAGAGTTTCATTCCACAACATATCCAACCTAAGTTATCTTTCTGGGCTGGAACGTGAGAAATGGTGTGGTACTGTGTGGTAACTAACTTTGTAGGTATAATTTTCAATAGTCTGAGTATGTCAGGGTAGCTGAGTGAGGCTGATAAGTTACAATGTTTGCCTTTGTTTTTTATCTTAAACAAGATCATTACATGAAGCAATTTTGTCTACATTCTTTAACTCCTAAGATCTGTTTTCTAATTCTCCCCACTTGTTTCTAGAAGTTTCCTTGTACATTTGTGATAGGAATTTTTTTTTAGATCAAGATAACAACTTTTTTCATTACCCTTTTGTTGGATATTGTAGAGATATTTTAGGGAGAAGTTACATGTTAATTACATCTGGGAGTTTAAGGGTTAAGGGTAACAGTGTGATGTGATACACTGCTACCTAAATTTCACTTAACATTGAAATATCCAGGACTTTAGCATTCCCTACAAATTTGTTCAAACTGCAGTTTACTAATTCTGCAGAGCAGTTACAGTATGCAATTCTAATGCCTGTTTCACAATTTTGACAAGTACTAGGTAATCTTTCATTTATTCAGACTGAAGGGAAAATGAAATTGTTGATTAACTTGAAAGGTGATTGATAAAGAAACATTGAGACTTCACCTTACTCAGACTATTTTCTCCACAAGCCTGGTGTAACCAACGTGCCAGCAATAAATTTTAGATAAGTTTAATTTCCTGATGACTGGACTGAACTCTTCTATTTACATGCCATTGCCAGTGGTTTCTACATAAAGTATTACGAACATAATACATCAAGAGCAGAATGACTAATTATGAGATGGAAAATAACACAGGAAATACAAGTAACAAGAAATAACTATGTATAACATAAGCAATACTAACAATATAAGAAACATTTGTCATTTGATGAAAGAGCAATTTACCTGACAATTTGGGAATATGGCTGGTGTAACAATGTACTTGCAATTGCCTTTTAACTCAAGCTCACACCTTTTTTATTTGCATGATCTGTGCAAAAGTCAAACTTGCGGACTGGGGCCAGGAGGGGGATTGGTTTCTACACCTGGTGTCTTCTCTCAATTTTCTGAGCTGGAAGAAAATGTCTTGTAAGAAAGTTGTGCTCCTAGGAACGACACCCCCCTTCATCTTATCCAGTTGTTATTGTTACACATGTAGGTCAAAAGAAGCAAATTATCTCATGTTGTGTGAATAAAAATATGTAATTGTTAATTTGCTGGGCAGAGTTTATCAAGAAGTGAAGATGATGACATTGCCTGAAAACAAAAACCAAAAGAAAATCAGAAGAGGAAGAAGAAAGGAAAAAACATTATTGACTCAGGTAATGTTTTAGGATGAACACAAACAGTTTCAAAAGGAACAGATGTTGAGACTCTACACAAACTGTTATACCTCTGTATTAGTTTTAATGGTGTATTGTGCTGTACAGTGTCCTTGTCAATTCCAAATGCAATTTGAATTATTACAAAAACATTATATAAAAAGATTCACTTAATTATACGTACAACATCACCATGATGTCCTGACCCTATTTCTAAATTAATTTTACGTCTATTTTAGATCCTGATGAAAATCCTCTTCTTCCAAAAATCAGGTATGTGATTTGTTTTTTCAATTTCATTCCATTTCATACAGTTGTAGTTAAACTCTTTGACCCTAATATCAGCCCTGAATCAAGAGTCAAGGAAATGATCACCGACTATAGAAGCTCTTGATTATTAAACAAATTCTCCTTGTCAGCAGCTTAGAAAATGCATAGAGAACAGCACGGAGAATATGCATACTGATGTCAGGTTGTATTCAGAACCTGGTTCTCTTTCACTCGTCTCTGTTTCAGAAAATCCACATCAGTAAAGAAGGAGGAGAGTTCAAAAGCTAAGAAAAGTAGAAGAGCAATCAGCTTGGACTCGGGTAAGGAAATTATGTCAACTTATTGAGGGTACGTGATACTTTTCATGTGAAAGGTGATGTGGAGACTTTATCTTCACGGGAATTGTGATTTTATCTTTTTTTTACATAAATATATTTAATTTTCATAGGATTAACAGTTTTATTAACAGGTTAGAAAGAGTGAAAATATGAATTTAGTTTAATTTTTTTCCTTAGTTTTATTTATCTTCGAAATGTGATCGTCTTGAATTTCATGTGAATGTCAAAACGTTTTGGATACTTTTCATTATAAATAAGATTGCCAAATATCTTTACGTGACCGAGTTCGACACAAGGGTTTTTTTTAGCAGACTCTGCTTATTGATGGAGTGGGAGGGCTGGATAGGGAAATATTTAGTGTGAGGTGAGCTTGAGGTACAGTAAGATGATGTCAGTTTTTTTAAAATTGCGTGACCTTTAACATTGCTTATGTATTAGCTTGCTAAAGAAAACGAAGCCATCTGCTTCATTCAGGGTTCAGCACACTTACCATTAGACCACTCTGCCTCAAATAGAATTTGAATATTTTAGCACTTGAGTTACATTTTGATGCATTTTCTACAGATGAGGAAGAAGTTGTGCCCAGCAAATTAAAAATGTCCGCAAAACAGGCAAACAATGTAGCTTCTAAAGAGGTCCAGCAAGTTAAAGAGAGGTATCTTTCATCATTCTCTTTCATTATATTTGACATTTCAGTACCAAACCATGGTGTTCATTTAGAACATAAGATATTGCTCTGGAGAAGCATCTGGCTTCTTCTAAAATTATCCATCTAAATGTTGTTTCTCTGCTTGTTTGTTTGTTTTTTCCTTTCTTCCATCAAGCATTGCGGATGTAAGATCTGTCATAGGACACTGCTCTTATGCTAATACATTTAACCCTTTGACTGCGAAGAAAGACTAGCATCTAATTTCTCTTTACAATATCCCTCCTGAATCAAACATTAATGTGAATTGATCGCTTTAATCGTCACCAAAGGTGAATTTAATACAATGTTGTTGTGTTACTGAAATATTTAACACATGGATTGTTATTCTTGCTTCAGTCCAGTCAAACCTAAAGAGAAAAAAGCAACTTCTGCTCTTGATTTCTTTGGTTCTACTCCAGTTGAAAGGGAATCCAGGAAAATATTTGCTAAGAAAGAAAACAGGTGAATAACTAACTACACTTTTTAATTTCCACCCACAATTTTTTTTGTAAAGAAAAATTCAGGCATCCAGTGTATTTTTTTAACAGTACTTCATGCATCATGCATTGAACAGGGAAAGCTTCAAACCTCACCATACCTTGCCTTTCTATAAAATTCATGCATCACATGTTAATTTTTGGGTGTAATCATGTATCCCTTGTAACCCTCAGCCAATCTGTTATAGTTATATCAGGATGGTCTACAGTGAACACATAACATGTCACAAAATCAATGGGTACCGGTAGTGACCAATTGAGGAATAGTTTTGGCAGAAACAACACCATAGGCTGCCTTAAAGGAACAAGTCCTTTCACCTCCAAGATATTAAAATCAGTTCTCTTTACTGTCAGTCACACAAGTGTCATGAAAATATCTTTGAGAATATGGTGTTCAATCAAGTGATATCCTCTTGTCTGATGATTTTCTTTCTTCTCATCACATTGCTTCTCAGTTGACTGTGAATTGGTATTATTGCGAGAAATTAGAAAATTGATCACTCTTAAGAGTGCAAATTTTAAGCTTGGTCCAGAGCTTTAAGCCTTCCAAATGATCATTCCTTAATTCCCTGTTGAACCATCAATCATTTTTTTTGTTTTCATTTCCCACAGAGATCTGACTCAAAGTGAACTTCAATAGAAAAGAAGAGTATAAAAATGGGAGAGAAAAAGAAGGAAGAGAAAATGGGAATGTCAACCATCACACAACAGAGCAACCATCAAAGAAAAGAAAGGAAGACTTCTCAGAATCAAAGTCTGAGGTTAAAAAGTCTTCCCCTGAGAAGAAAAAGGTTTGTAAGCCTTTTGATTACCATACTTTATTGTTGCAAAATTAATCATTACTATTAATACTTAATTGAACCAGCTACCCTGATACTAGAATGGATTGGATCTGATATGATTGCATGTGTAAGGTATGTGTCATTAAGCACTTAAATAAGTTACTTTTAGATGAAACAGTAACATTTTATGACTAAATTTGGCTTTGTTTGAGATCCAAAAGCTTATTCAAATTTGTTAACTGGTGTTACATTTTGTATATGTAAACCTGTCCTACTATGACACATTACTAACAATACTTGCAACAAAACATTACTTACAATACTAACACTACTCAAAATACTACCATTACTGTACCTAGAATTTATACAAAAACAGTAACAATAGTGACAAAACTTTTAGGTACATTTTTGGTGATTTTAACTTTGACAATCCAGGAAGATGTTGCCACTTTGTCTCCATTTTTCAAAGCAGCAGTGTCTTTCACTATCAACATTCCGATTTGGGACAACTCTTGCCTTGTGAGGACAACTCTTTGCTGTTAGAATATTTGATATACATGTAACTTTTATTCACTTCAAATTTTATCCATGGACTTTTCAGGAAGTACCGAAGACAACTCCTGCTAGCAAACTGGCTGCCAAAGCTGCCACAGTTCCAGAAACTCCAGTTAGAGACTCAAAACCAAGTCCAAAGAAAACTGTTACTCTGAAAAAGGAAAAAAAGATGTTAGTAAGGAAACTCGAACCCAAGGAACACCAAAAGGTGTCAAAATCAGAGGAAGTGGTTGAAGTTCCACCCTCATTGGAAAAGACAAATCTGGCCACCATGGTTTTATGGTGAGAGATAGTCCTAGGGCACTTGGTTCAAAGGAAATCCCTCAGGTAGGTTTCAAAGACCAAGATCTGATTGTTAATTCTCCCCTCTAGCTGCTACACATTTTTCTGTAAATTAATAATGAGAGTTTGTAACAAACTACATGTACTTGATAAGTTTTAGTATCCTCATTACTGGATAATGTACGGATATTCTCAAGAGAGGTTACATGTTAATTTCTTATGTTAGTTAAATTATTATTATCTCTCAAGCTCTTTATGGTTTGTTTTCCATCCTTTCAAATTTTAACAAGAGATGCAAGACAAAGGAAAATGAAGATTCTTAGAATTAAGGCTTATTTGGAAAATCTGCAGAGACAGTTTACTTGAAAAAATTGTAAAATGCATGTTTTGATTAACCCTTTTACTTCTGAGATGTCAATAGTAATTCTCCTTACTGTCTGTCATACAATTCTTGTAGTGTTAGTTTGGAGAATTTGGTCTTGGATCAACTAATAATCCCCTGCTTGAGTATGTATTCTCATCACTTGTCTGCATGATATTGTATTGATATTGTAAGGAGAAGTTCTGTCTTGGTCACTCATGGGAGTTAAAGGGTTAAACAAAAAAATGTATTTTATCCTTTTACTCTCAGTTGATGTTCAAATGTTGGTTCGATGTCAATATCTGAGAAACTGCCCACCTACCCCTCCCCTAATCCAACATTAACCCTTACTTGTAAGCAGTTGATGGTTGTTGGGTTAGGGGGAGGGGTAAGTGCACAGATACTGATGTTGATCCCAAATGTTTATGGTGTATCTGCAGAGTTTTTTTTCATTTTTCACCATTTATAACTTTTCAGTTTGGACAGTGTTAAGAGGCCTTCAAGGGAAGAATTAATTATTTGTCTGCATATCTTAAATTATGCATGCACTTGATAATATAATTTTTAGGAAGTGGAAAACTGTTTGAATGGACTGACATTTGTTATTACAGGAATCTTGGAAAGTATTGAGAGAGAGGAGGCAGCAGATCTGATTCAAAGATATGGTGGAAAAGTTACCCAATCAGTGAGCAAGAAAAAGAGTCAAGTTGTTGTGGGACGGGATCCTGGGGAGAGTAAACTTTCCAAGGTACATTGTAATGCACAGCTCAAAAGAGGGAAAAAAAAGAACTGTGAACATAAACATATACACTGCACCTTTTCCCTAAATTTTTATAACAAATCCGGGTGCAGCTTACTGCAAATACACCTGGGAAACTTGCCGCAAATTTGCATAAATTAACATGATTCATCGAACAGCAAACTAACAAGAACTGAAAAATTTTCTTTTTGTTGTTGGCTTCTAAAAGAGTTTTTTTTTTTCCATGAGCATAAACTTAGACTGTGGAGTTCATTAAATGTTTCTTTGTTAAAAGACCTTTTTAACTGGTTTAAGGTTGTATTTCCTTCCTTGAATAGCTAAACATTACTTGGCAAGAAACCTGTGATTTCTTTGTTGTTGTTGTTTTTGTTGTTGTTTTTTTTGTGCAACTGATCACATAATTTGTTAATCCTCATTTCCCTTCTTCCATCTACTAAATTTACGGTGTCACTCAGTTTGTCTGTCTGTCTGTCTGCTCTTTTGTGTACACTTAGTGAATATAATTTTCCTTGTGTGCATACAAGTACTGTACATGACTTTGCATTAAAGTTACTGATGACATAAATACATGTGCATGTGTGTGTTATACATGTACCAGTAAAATGTCATAGGAGCCATAGGCTAGTGTGCAACTGATAACATAATTTGTTCATCCTTATTTCCCTTCTTCCATCTACTTAATTTATGGTGTCACTCAGTTTCTGTCTGTCTGTCTGTCTGTCTGTCTGTCTGTCTGTCTATCTGTCTGTCTGTCTGTCTATCTGTCTGTCTGTCTGTCTGTCTGTCTGCTCTTTTGTGTATGTTCATTCTTCCAATTACTGTCTTTCTATCTGTCACTTATTCTCCTTGTTCTCCTCTGTCCAGTCACCCACATGTCAGTTTTACTACCACTCTAAATTCCACCTTTAGGTTCATCTGTTGGATCATTTTACTGTACTTCCTCATGTAGACTTGTTTATGTTACTTAAATTGAGTTACAAGAGAGTACAGTTTTTTTGTTTTTTATTGCTTTATTTTTTTAATCTACATAAGATTTAGACAGTAAAGGTAATTTTTTTTTGTGCAGGAGAACCAAGTCTGTCATGGGTAGAAAAATATCAACCTCGTGCAGTGAAGCAGATTATTGGTCAGCATGGTGATAAGAGCAACATGAGAAAGCTGATGAACTGGGCTGAGAGACTGGGAAAAGAATAGAAAGAAACCAGTCTCTAAATGTGAGTACACATTGATTGTCAAGATGCTTTTCCCTCAAATACATGTACATGTAACTTCTCTTCAGGCAAGTATGCAAACGGTTCAGGCAAACTGTCAGAGAGAGCAGATGAAAAAGTTTGGCTTGTAACCAGATAGGGGGACCTTTCTGGGGGGAGTAGCAATTCTCCTAGTCACCTGATGCTACTGAAATTAAGTAAGCATAGGCAAGGTTAGACCTGTGGCTCTTGTGCTGACTTTACCTCTAACCCTTTATCTCACATGACTGACCAAGACAGGATTTCTCCTTACAATATCAATACAATATCAATCAGACAAGTAATGAGAATGTAGAAAAATATCAATCTGGGGATTATTAGTTGATCCAATACCAAATTATCCAAGATCATTATCATAAGAATTTTATTATCATAAGAATTTTATGGCAGACAGTAAGAAGTACTAGTGAGCTGTTTGGAGTAAAAGTGTTCAGTGGATAAACCTAACCTTAATCAAAAGATATTTTACATAAGACCTTAAATTGAGTTTTAATGCAAATGTCGTCTAGCTGTTGGCTAAATACCTTTCACATTGAATCCAGATTGTTTCTTAATTCCCACATTCAGAGATACAATTTTTTAAACAGCTGTAACTTATGAACATTTATGAATTTATTTTACTCGACAGTCACTTATACATGTAGTTAGTATGTTAGTAGTGGAATCACAGTTTTAAGCCTTTTTATTTTGCACAGCTTTCTTTTACAACAAAGACCAAGATGGGTCGTCCTTTATGGCAGCGCTTCTGTCCGGTTCCCCAGGAGTTGGAAAAACAACAACAGCTACATGTACCCTGGTTTGTGAAGAGCTGGGTTTTACGTACATTGAAATGAATGCCAGTGACACACGAAGCAAAAAGACCTTGGAAGAGCACATTTCTCAGTCACTGAACAATAAAACCATGGATTGCTGTCTGACAGGTTGTCAAATTTCTGTAACATTTGGAATGACTTTGATATTATTAAAGATACTTCATGAATTCTCTTGTCTTACTAAACTGATTTTCCTCTGTAGTTAATTTAATAGATTTCAGATTTCATTTTTCCTTGTATTTTTGGTCGTATTCGCTATACAATAACTTTTTGCTAAATTCGCCTTACGTCATTTCTTTTCACTCACCCGTCGAATTAAAGCTCTATTGGTCAACTTTTCCTAAAAAATTTGTCAAGTTTCCAGGCCGACAAATCGCCTGCATCTTTAATAAGAAAATTTCCTTCACTATGCGTTCAGTATGTGTGTGTCTCATTTTTCCCTGTCCTGTCAAGACCTCTCGTATGGCAGTCCAGCGCCCTTCGATCACCCTAAGCAGGCGATGGTTTAACGACCATCACATCAGCAAAAAATAAGTATACTAAAAAAAAATAGCATGTTTATATCATTGTGCTACACTCCGAATTAATGAAAATGAAAAGTTAAAAAATGTAATATGAGGTCCTGTCCAAACTTGGCGTATAAATAGTGAAACAGCATCGCTACAAAATAGAATCATGGATCACGAAATAAGCAATGACACGATTTTCTGTTTCGAGTTCGATGAGCTCATATTCAGCTTCTTCAATACTGCTCGTGTTACCAAGTGCATCATTTTGTTACACACTTCTGGGGCAAATCGCATTTTCACAGGAGTTAAGGTGAGGACAGAATAAGTTAATAGCGACCGAATGCAGTGAATGAGATAAACGGATATTGACTAAAGATACAAATAGAAATAATTTGAAACATGAGACAAAAGAATGAAAAAAATATCGATCTTATTTACTCGTCACGAACGCAAGATCGAATCTTAGACCATTGGATTTTACGATCTGAAGTTCTCACACATAGCTATAGATTTCTCGTTAATGATCCATGACATACAATGGATACATAAAGGATCATCCTGCATACTGCTTAGATCATCAATGTCGAAAGTTTCATGTCTTCAAATACATAATGATAGAAAGGAAATTTCAAGCTCTTGCGTGACAAAGGAAAAAATCATTTTTAACCGACGACCGAAAAGAAAAACTCTATCCGTCAGATCAGGTTAAACGACAGATTAAATATTAATGCTGACATGTAGATAAACATACCAGACCTTGAGATAGCTTATTTATCTTCCCATGAGGGATTTACGAAGCTGCGGCATTTCTGATTCCAGTATCATGTGCGTCACTTGTCTGTACGAACTGTTAGACATTTATTTATGGCCTCCCTTATTGCATCCAAACTCGGCTGACAATTCTGGAGCTCAAAGAGACAGAGAGCTACGGCCTCAGATTTCTCTTCCAACTTAAAGACAACTGGTTCAGTAACAATTTATTCATAAAATTCTTATAAGATACACAGAGGGTTT